TCCTGGGGTATTTTTATTTCATTGACTATGTAGATTTGAGAAACTCAACTCTATTTAAGTATCTAGTACAGTGCAAATGAGAGGCATGTCAGTATGTGCTAAACAGATGATTATTTTAATAGAAAGCCATCTGTATGGAAAGAAAGACTGGAGTGGTGACACAGGGTAACAGGCCCAGGAGGTGGGTGTGGAAGGGTGAACCCAGGACTTAGGAATATGACACATGCCAACACTCCAACGCTGCCTCCACCAGGCACGACCTGGGTGACTCTGACCTGTGCCACTCATCTACCCCCTAAGGCTCAGCCCCCTCATCTATACGACGGGTTAGACATAGTATCTACATGAAATACAGGTTATGAGAATGAAATACATCGTATGTGTGACCACTCAATAAACACCAGCCGGAATGAGTATTATTAATTTATCATTATTGTTCAGCTATGGTGTGACCACTAGATTTTCAACAGAAGTCCCACAGTGCAAGGAACACCCGGTACAGGTGCAGAAGGAGGAGCTGCTTCCAGAACACTCACAGCCCTGGGAGCCAGCGCTAGCCCTGCGGGGGAGCGAGAAAATGGGTTTCCTGGGAGACTGGGCTGCAGCAAGGATGAATGTGTCCTCTTATCTCCTCAGCTGGGTGTAGCTGCTGTGCATCTGACGCGCTCACTGGGCAGGATCCTTCTCCTGCCAGGTTAGGGTGTGCACCCTGCTCAGTGCCTGTGATTCATCTGAACACATACGCGGCTCTTGCTGAGACCTGTGCAGAACATTTGGGCACATGGCCTTATTTCTGGGACTCTTCAAATGTTATTTGTTGTAAAAACCCCTGGTGGAGCAAGTCCTTTGTAGGGATGCCTGGAAATTAGTCCTGCAGTGGGGCTGATAGGGTCTCCTCTGGAACCTCTGAGAAGTGTGAGCAAGGCCCCCATGGGCCACGGTCTTCCATAAAGACCAGGTGATACATGAAATATTCCTAAATCCCCTCATGGATGAAGAGTAGCTGATGGGCCCGGCTGGTGTGGCTCAGTGGTTGAGCATAGACCCATGAACCAGGAGATCACAGTTCAAGTCCCAGTCAAGGCACATGCCTGGGTTGCAGGCTCAATCCCCTAGTAGGGGCAATGCAGGAGGCAGCTGATCAACGATTCTCTCTCATGATTGATTTTTCTATTTCCCACTCCTCCCTCTGAAATCAATAAAAACATGGTGTGTGTGTTTTTTTTTTTACAAAAAGAGTAGCCGATGGTGGCGATGAGGGTGTGGGGAAAACCCAAGGGTCATTTTACCTGTAGCCTCAAGGGAGGGCAGGGGCCTGTGCTACCCTCACTGAGGAATGAGCTACCCCAACGCACTGCTAAGGCTTCCTGCCATCCTTAGAATATCCTTGACCATTTTTCTCATTTTAATCGCATTTTTCTATTTATATTAGTCACCTACACTCATTTTAGTGTATTTAGATAAAATGAAAAAGAATAGAGATGAAAAAAAACACACAGTACAGCAGTTCCACCACATCCATGGGGGATGAGGTCCAAGACCCCAGTGGATATTTGAAACTGTGGATAATATCAAACCCTATATACACTATGTTTCTTCACAGATACAGATATTTTTACTCTCAGGAAGTACTTTATGGCTTCTCTCTGGCATATTCGAATTGTCAGCATCACTGCTCTGGAGCTTTGGGGTCATTATTAAGTAAAATAAGTGTTATTAAATGCAAGCACTGTGATACTGTGCCAGCCAATCTCATAAACAAGGTGGCTACTGCGTGACTAACAGGTGGGGTAGCGTATAGAGCATGGACACGATGGACAAAGGGATGATTCACAGCCTGTGTGGGACAGAGCAGGAACGCTTGAGATTTCATCACACTACGCAGAAAGGCATACTAATTAACACAAATGAATTGTCTGTTTCTGGAATTTTCCGTTTAATATTTTAGGACCACTGTTGATCACAGTCAACTGAAACTGTGCATATAGGAGGGACTGCTGTATATGTTTGCTCATAAAAATGAATACCTTGAACATATAAATTGTTTTTAAAACTTGCTCTTTTCACCTAAATACATATGGTGGCAATGTCATTAGAGAGACTTCTATAACCGGAATTTAACGACGCCATTCCAGCATTTACTTAATCAGTCCCTTTTGCTGGACACGTGGGTTGTTTTCCGTTTTTCATCCTGTTGAACACACTGGCAGATAATCTTCCTGTCTCTGGTTATTTGCCTGAGTAAACTCCCATAAGTACAATCACTTATTGGAAGGATGTGCACATGTACGGCTTTGGGTATCTATTGCCAAATGATCTTCTAGGAAACATGCCCACATGCATTCCTGAGCTACACTGCTCCTCCTGGCAGTCCAGTTACGCCTACTTTACCCTGCATAGTATTCTTCTTGCTGTAAAGGGCTCCCCAAACCTTAGACTAGACCAGTGGTTCTCAACCCTCCTAATGCCGCGACCCTTTAATACAGTTCCTCATGTTGTGGTGACCGCCAACCATAAAATTATTTTCGTTGCTACTTCATAACTGTAATTTTGCTACTGTTATGAATCGTAATGTAAATATCTGATACGCAGGATGTATTTAGGCGACACGGGAAAGAGTCGTTCGACCCCCAAAGGGGTTGCGACCCACAGGTTGAGAACCGCTGGACTAGACAGTCTACTGAGAATGCACACTGTCTATGTGTTTGAAAAAATGCTTGAAAACGTGCAAGTTTGGGTCCGTCAGACCAAAGTATCCCACAAGAAAGCAGCAAGTTATGAATGAGGCCACAGAACGTGCACCATTCACTGCATACTCTTCACCTCAGGGGGAATCATCGCAGAACAAGATGAGCTGGTAGTGGGCCTTTATCGGCCTCTTCCCTGCAGGCTTAGAGTTGTTCTAGGCACAAGTGCACAGTTCTGTCCATGAATTCGTAGCCAGGACTCACGCTGTAACCCCGTGAAAGCCAGCACCAGCAGATGGGGTCTTCTAAAGAGCATATTGAGTTTCCAGGAGACTGTAAAGCAGGGGGACAGGCTGGTCTTCCTGTTTAACTTCTTAATTTATCACCTGAACCCATTTAAGGATGAGCAGGCTACAGAGTCCTGCTCTGTAGAAAGGAAGGCAAGCATTCTCTACAACACGGGTGATAGGACTGATCTCAAACTGACTGCTCCCCAACCATTGCCAGAAAGAAGGGCCACTGACATGCTATTCTGGAAACAAAGTGTCTTCCTTCCCCTGACTTAAAACTGGTGGGTAAACGGTCTCTGCCTTTGCTGACTCAGAGATTCCTGGGCTTATCTTGGAAGCGACAGCAGGAAATAGCCTTGCTGAAACTTAGACCGGCGGTGGGTGTCTTGTGGAGACTCTTGGTCACGATGTGTCTATTTCAATTCCTTTGGAAATTCTCAGGCTCAGTCGCCCCAGCGCCGTTAAATGGAACAGAGCTTTGGCGAGTCTGTAGGCTGCACCTCTAGGTGCTGGAACAAATCCATAGGAAAACTGCCTAAGAAATCTGCCACTGCCTTAGCCCGTCTCCGATCCAGGCTGCAGCTGTCTCCTGGGTAGCAGGTGTAGAAAGATGTTAACCTATTTCCAACGACACTGGTGGATATAACTCTGGACTTAACTAGCCAAGCAGGCATTTGTCAGAGTGCATAGGGGAACTGTCTGTCTCCCAATATTTCCTGAAATACAGACGAGGGAGACAATATTTGGGGAGGTTTCCTTAAAGAAATATTGAATCTGTTCACTCACCAGATCCCAGAAAAGAATCCCAGGACACAGATGGATCAGCAGCGAGCGAGAGACCTCTGTCAAATCGGACTGCCCACCCCCCGCCCTCTCCTCAGCCACGTCCCCAGTTGCCTATACGCCAAGCATCATTATGTGCAACAAGCCCATGAAACGCACTCGCGTGCCCTCGCTAAGACCGCAGCGGCGAGCGCAGTTCCTTACATCACAGGCTGTTCCTTTATGAGGACTCCTGGGATCAATTCCTGTCTGGCCCGTGTGAACCACAGTTAGAATTTTCCCAAGCAATTGGTTCGTGTTTATCTCGTGGACACTGGGAACTGTGGATCTGACAAGCTGCCTTTATTCCGTTGGCGGCTCCGCTGCTGTGGCCCACGTAAGCGGCGGACGTGGAGAAACACCGTGTTAGCATTCTTTCCAGCCCCACCGTATTCTTTTCCTTCTATCTCGCCTCACTTTTAATTTCTGCTATCTTGTCACGTTTTATGTGCCATCGTAAGCCACCTGGAAAGCGTTCTGGGAGATGGGATTTGGTTTACACTGAAAAGTAGATAAATCAGACGAGGGAGAGAGCCACGCCACACGTCCCCACCTATTCTCTTCAAAACTTCAATTACATTCTGCGTTAACATCCTTCCACCCGTAGACTCAAGGCGTAGGGTGTGCAACTCAGAACTGCAGCAATAACGATCATAAAATAATTGGGAAAGCCAAATAAAGATGCGAAAGTACTGTGATTGTCCCGTCTCTTTCTCAAGGCTCAGCTCAAGCCACTGAAATGACAAAGCTTCTTGGGAGCCTGATGCACTCGAACACTAATTATAATGAAAAGAGTAAATAACTCCACGTAATACTTGAGTGACACGTGGAAGTGTGCTGTGCTCTCCTGGGTCAGTAGGCTGCCCAGGGGAGCAGGAGAGGCAGGCATCACTGTCATTTTCAGTCTACTGTCCTGCTAAGGAGCAAGGAACAACAGCTAGCCCCTCTAGGTGCGCTCTGCATCCGGGGATTTTCCAACTGCGGGAAATGTGCTCAAATCCAAGAAGAGGAGCGAAACTATGAATTCTGATGTCTACATAATAGAATTAGTTGCTATTTAATAAGATCATGGATGCTAAATATCATCTAAGGAGCAGAGGTAATTAAAAAATATCCCTTCCCCTTCCCCACCAAGTCCTTCATCACAGCAGGTACATTCTTCCTTACTAAGGTGTGAGGAGGAGGCCTCTCCCATCCTTACCTGGAGCCAAAGTTTGTCATGCTGAGACCACTTCCCGCCAGCAATGCACTGGAATGTGGCATTCTGACCCACGTTCACCTCGACATTTTGGAGCCGCAGAAAGTGAGGTGCTTTTCCTGAGAGAGAAACCAGAAAGCACATGAGAACAGAACTCAACAGTGGGAACCACCTTCCCTGTGGGCACCTGGCAGCTCAGCACAGCACCTGGCAGGGTGGAATGTGTTCCTGGGAAGTGGCCTGGCTCAGTGAGGAGCTACTGTTGATGGATCGCTTACTATGAGCTGGGTATGTTCTGAGAGCTTTCATGCATCCTCTTGCCTAAAATCTCACAAAAATCCATGGGGTGGGCAGTATCTCCATTTCTCAGGTCAGAAAATTAAGGCTCAGAGGGGTTACATGACTTGGCACAGTCAGCCAGCCAGAAAGTGGGGGAACCAAGCCATGAATCCAGGTCTCTGAGGACCTCAAATCCATATTAACTGCTGGGCAATACTGCCATGCTTAGAAGAAGAAATTGGGGGAGGGGTTCAAGATAGAAAATTCCTCCTGTAGCCTGGGTGGGTAGAAAGAAGAAAGCTGAAGTGAAGCACCTTTGGGCCTCAGACTTCCAACGTGGCCTTGTTGCTAATGAAGAAGATACTGAGGAGGAAGAGAGGGAAGGAGAGAGAAAGGGCGGAGGTGAGGAAGGAGGGGAGGGGGCAGAGATGCTAGTAGCTTTCATTCCCATAGGTGGACTGTGAGTGGTGTCATGCGCAGTATTTACACAGTAGCTCTTTTAAACCGATGCAGTTGGTGGTTTTATCTCTATGTCACAGTAAGTGAACTGAGGCACAGAAAACTCAAAAAAATGTTCACAGTCTACATTCTTCACTCTAAGCTACGGTGTCTCGGAAAGATGGGAAGGAAATGGGAACTTACTTTGGGGACTCGGCAAACAGAAGAAAGGGCTTTCAAAAGAAACTCAGGGTCTATAAGCGATCAATTCTAGAATCAAACATATGTTGGGTGACTTGGGGCCATCTCCTTTTTTTGTGGAGATAAGTCCTCACCTATGTGAGCACTTCAAAGATGAGTGGATTGATAACCTACCCCTAGAAGAACGACCTTCTTCCACGAGGTACAAAAATGCCATGGGTCCTTATCACATCAACCACTACCAGAATGGGATCAAATGGGGGGTTGTTAAGAGATCAAGGAGGTGCAAAAGGGCCTATCTGCCAGAGCGAGTCAAATATCCAGAGACACAAATAATAATGATAATGTCATTTATTTGAAAGCTCCTACAATGCCAGGTACTAGTACTGTGATAAATGCTTTAGAGATTTTATCTAATTTAACTTCGTAACATTCCTGTAAAGCAAACACTAATATTATTTCCCTTATAGAGAAGCAGAAACCAAGGCTCACCAAGTTTAATTTGCTCAAAGCTACACAGCAGTAATGACAGCAACAGAATTCAGACCAGATCCATGTTAGCCCCAAATCAGCATTTAATGAGCACATTCTCTTGTTTCCTGGGCAAAGGGAGGTCAATGGTGTCACCTGGACCCTAGGGTCCAAAGAAAGGGCTCACAGGAAAGGCTGTGCTGATTCTCCAGGCTCCTCTCATTGCTCCCAAATATTTTATCACCAGTGATCACTTTCCTTACCTTTCATCCCCACTGCCTTCACCCTCTCAACTATCTGGTCTACCAAACTGCATCACTGCCTCTAAAGCTCAGCAAAACCAAGAACCTTGGTGAGATTAGGCAGACGCTGGTGCAAAAACATATACCTTCTGCTCTGGTTTTTTTTACAAATAACAATAGTTCAGAGACCCCCCTCGTGCTACCTTCCGGACCCATGGCTAGAGTGGAGTCAACTGTCAGGGCCCAAGGAAGACCTCTCCTGTGAGCATCTCAGAGTTGAAGATTCCTTGCATCTAGTCAACCTGACACATGTCATGCTGCTCTGATTGTCTGAAACTGTTTCCTTTCTGCTCTCCTATATAATTTGCACAGTTATTTTTGGAACTCTCCGTTCAAGTCATTTCTTCACATGGGAATATGTTCCATGAGTCCGAAGCCCATTTAAGCCACAGGTTTAAAGGGCAAAGGGAGCATCTACCCCATGAGAGAAGGGAGCTCAGACTCTTAACTGTAGTGTTGGGAGGCTTTGCGTTAGGCTTTATAAAGGGATGCCTCCCCTTGCCTTTGGGGAACAGTGGGCAAATGGATTAACCTTTGGGATTTATGCAATTAGAAATGATCTTCTCTGGACCAATGTCCCCACTTTCTTCTGATTTGAAAAAGCAGAACGTTTGCCTTGATTCCTTCATCTTCCATCCCTCTCCCTCCCTTCCTTCTAGGTTCAGTGGCAGAGAATTTAGAAGCTTAATCATCCTGAGTGTTAACTTTCATCAATATGAAACAATGATGGTCTCTGATCTTTGATGAGACCAGGGCTCTCATCCCCAGATCATGACAGGCATCTCTCTCTGTGGACATTCTCCTTATGTTGGCAACCTGTTTGGTCCACTTCTCTGAGCTCCTGGTCTCTCTGACCCTCCTCTCAACTCCAGCCCCACTCTCCAGTTTACTTCTAAGCCCTGTGCTCTCTCGACTGTTATTTCCCCCCAGCATCTACATTATCATCCCACCAGCTTCAACTCACTGACCTTCGGCCAAATACAGTTGACCTCAGGATCCAGACCAGCATTCCACACTTAATCTCCACTGAGACTCAGCCCCCCAAAAATGGGATCCTGCTGAATGGGCTTATCAGAAAACTGCTGTGCATTTGGGGTAAAATGCCTTGATGTTGGTGACATTTAAACTCCTGCAGATGTCATTGAAGCATCTGAAGACATATTATTCTGCCCTTTATCGCGTGCTTTAAACCTGACAGTGCTCAGTGGGAAGCCACACAATTGAGGAGAAAGCTCAGTACATACATCAGAACCGTGTCGCAGACACTCCACGGGTTCAATGACATTGTCCCACAAGGTTGGTGTAAAAAAATAGTTTTAAAAATTCTAAAAGTCAACTTAGCTAGAAACTTTGAAATTGGGTGGAAAATTGTGCTGACATTTCTCGTACACAGTTGTAGCTGCAGTGGCTATCAGCTAACACTGAGAAACAACAGTGCAGGGGAACTATGGCTGAAACACTATTAAAATAACACAAAAATGTTAAATGGGCTTTAAAATATAGACGAGAGATTTTGGTTCATATGGGAAAATAATTTCCTTCTAGTGGTATGCCTATCTTTCCTTAACTGTTTTGGAGACTGCAAGGCAAGCGTTTAAAGCCCTAACTCCAGCTCAAATTGATCAAGAATACAATTGCAAATTGGGCACCAACCCCCCTGGAACTTTTGGAATACTTAGTAATAAATGCTGAACACATGTTAATAGAAATGATGTTTTGGAGGACAGAAGTGGAGAATTAAAAAGCCTGACATAAAGAAAATGCATATTTCTCCATCTAGTTAAATGTCTAACAATGTTTGAGTGAAGTTATAAATGCATTCATATTAGTCTGGAGTCGGGAAGAAGGCACTGTCAGTCCAATGGACAGTCCAAAGCCACCAGCAGGTTGCATGACATGTGATCTCATGAGCACGGTCAGTACCTTGGAAGGCAGAACACAATTCTCCCCAGACTCACACCACCTGAGCCTGTACCAGTGGCTTAAGCCCCAAAGCTGGGAATGTTCCATTTCTGGTGCCTCTGGCTCCCAATCTAACCATCACATGGGACCAGTCAGCTTTACCCCCTAAATGTATCCCTAATCTATCCACTTCTGTCCATCTTTGTGTTTTATGTTTCTTCACAGCATGGGTTGCCATCTGCTATGGGCTAAAGTGTACCCCCAAATTCATATGTTGAAGCCCTAATGCTCAGTAACTCACCCTGGGATTGTATTTGGTGAGAGAGCCTTTAAAGCGGTGATTAAAGTAGAAATGAGGTTGTTAAAGTGGGCCCTGAGAAGGGTGTCCTCATGAGAAGAAAAGACCTGGACACACAGGCACACAGGGGCAGGTGTGCATAGAGGAAAGGCCACATGAAGAGAGAATGAGAAAGCGGCCATCCACAAACAGAGGAGAGGGGCCATGGAGGAAACCAAACCTGTCTCTTCATCTCGGACTTCTAGCCTCCAACACTGTGATAAAATAACTGTTTGGGACCCCAGACTGTGATGCTTTGTTATGGCAGCCTTAGCAAACAAATATACCATCTGCTATAGGTCATATATGACCTGATATTTGTTTCATTTCTAGAAACAAAGTCTCTTTCACTTTGAGGGAATCCCATGAGAGCAGAGAATGAAACTGTCTTATTCCCATCAACCCAGAATAGCGTGGGCAGAGAGTCCCTGCTCAGTAAACACTTGTTGAATGATGAGCGGATGCCTCTCCACTCCCCTGGTCCAGGCCGCTGTCATGATCTCTTGCATGAATCCAGAACTTTCTTTCTAATAGATCCCCCGACTCTATTCCCCTTCAACTCTCTCCACAAGCAGCCGAAGTGATCTTTTAATAATTAAATGAGATCATATCAATCCCCAGCATAAATCCCTCTAGTGGCGCCCCCTACACTTAGATTACAATAGAAACTGCTCATGATGACTCTGGTTTCCTCTACCTGGAATGCCCCTCCCCAAACCCTTACGCAGTGAACTCCTTCTTGTGACTCAGGGCGCAGCTCAGATCATGCCTTTAAAGACGTGTCCCCTGGCCACTCTATCTAAGGAGCCCTCCCATATTCTAGTTAGTTGCCTTTATTATATTCATAGCACTCATCACTATCTGAAATTATATTAGTGATTTATTTAATACTATTTATCTAGTGTATTTCCTCCCTCTGCCCCTCTACTAAATACGCACCCTGAAATTTAGGTATCCCCTGTGTCCAGTAGAAGTTCTTGACATGCAACTAATGCTCAAAAGTCTACTTGTTGAAAGAAAAGATGGATGGACACCTGGACTGGACTTGGACTGAGCAGGGGACCTTGGGAAGGGGCCTAGGCTAGGCTCTGCTCAACTCCACATGACTCATGAGCGGTGGCTCCATCTCTGAGGACTGTATGTACTGCCAGTATATGTATACATAGCTAAATGGAATTTTTCCCATTCCAACCACTATCACAGGGTCCTCACACTTTGATTTCTGGGAAGTTTAAGTTTCAGCCGCCTAAGCATCAAGGCTGAACTCGGCCGAAGCACATTATGCAGGAACTCAGCCAGGGTCACGTCTTCCTGAGTTATATCCCATGGCCCATTTGCTGGGTAACTGGCTCTCAGTAATTCCATAACCATGCAATGCACCTCCTCAGCAGGAGGACGAGGCTGTCAGGAGAATTCTAAATTCAGGACCAGCCCTGACCAGAGGAGGATTCTAAGAGGAGCCATGAGACTTGGGGGATAGAAAGGCATCCATGTGCCCTCCAGGGGACCCTCTCCCTTGGAGATTTCTCAAGAAGAAGGAAACATTTGACTGCAATGGCAAACCATGAATGGTGCTGGGAGTCAGGGCAGAGCTTCGCCAATCTGACCTTGAAGATGGTTGAGGCTGTGATCAGAGACAGGTGTACAGTTGAGCCTCATGGTGGAGGTACAAATTCTCATCAGAGCACAGAGTTCTGGGGTCCTGGGAGAGAGCCAGGCCAGATTCTCCTGGGAAGAGGCAAATACCACCTTCCCGGAAGAGCAAAGGCAAACCTCACACACAGGGTCAGGAGTAGGAAGGCACTGGATGCAGCAAAGGTAAGCGTCCTCTCTGAAGATGGGATGTGTACCGGGCTAGGGGCTAAGACTGAGACTTGTTTCAGAGAGACTGCCTCAAAGCTGAAGGCAGTGCAGGCTGGAGGTTCAGTGAACAACAGCTAGAGTAGACATCTCCCCATGCAGTTGCCCAGACTGAGGACAAAGCTCATTCTCCAATGGGCAGCTGATGCTGATGCCAGGAATTGAGGGAAGGGAAGACTTAATCCCAGAAAAGGGGACTCATCTGCATATCCACTATGTAAACCCTGCATAGCGGGGACAGGGAGGATTTCTGGGACCCTTTCCATATGAAGTCTAGTTCATCAGAGACATTTGCCAGGCGTGATTGAATGGCCAGACCCATCCGAGAGAATTCCAAAGACTCAGAAAGTAACTCAGAGGGTAGGGGGTACCTTAGCCAGAGAGAGTAATGGAGAGTGGAGCAGGACCTCAGCATTCCTGAGATGCCGGCTGATTTCTGGGAAAGAAGGGTCTCTTGCACTGACATCAAACACAGTTACCCCAAATACTGTCTTGCCCGAACCCCTTGGGACTTTCCCTATTTCCTCCAGAGAAGGTGCTCCCAGGCAATGAGTCAAACAATGGCATTCTAGTGTCAAGGGAATGAAGGCTCTGACACATTCACTGCAGCAGGAGTAGGAAGAGTTGTTTTAAATAAAGCAGCATGGATGGGGCTGAAATGAGAACAGCCCCCAAATGGGAGGACTGAAAGGCATGTAAGGACAGGGCACTTGATGTCTCTTGAGGGAACAGCAAATTGCACCATTGTCAATAGCATGACTCATGGCTATAAGGGGGGGAGTAGAGAGAGCCCTACTAAGAGTTGCCTGGGACCAGATGGCTGCTGAGAAACTGATGAGAATCTCCAATATGCAGAACACTAACTAATGGGGCCGGCATCCCAAAGAGTCCACCTAGGGGCTACCATAATCCCCAAGCACATCTCTTTGACGACAGCCCTTCCCCCCACCACATGGGATATGATGTCATCTCAACTACCTACATCCAGGACTTGTCCCCTCTCAGATTTAATGAACCTGAGAACCGCAGCTCCTTGCTCAAACACACTCAAATATCTTACAATAAATACAGCAAAGAGGGAGAAATTCAAGGGGAAACTTGATCGGCATGGAGGAGTGGTATGCCCTTGAGGGCTCTTGACACTGTACCATAAGTACTAACCATTCACTCATCAGCTCTACGCCTACACAGAGCTGATGAGTGAATTTAAAATTACTTTTAAAAATTAATAGCTTTGGGGTACTTTTCCCTGTGAGTGAACACTGTACTAATTTCTTCAGTGTTTTGGTGTTGTTCCTTTTTTTTTTAAAAAAAAAAAAGACAATTGCACACAATTCTATCCAAAGCCCTCTAATTCTTCCACTTCAGTGGTCTGAATCCCACTAATAAACAATCAGGACTTTAGACTCCCTTAATAATGGAGAGAGATTCAAACGAAGATGTTTTGCCAGTCTCTGCAAATTCCTGGAGGTGCTGCCTGTGGAACAGGCCGGCAAAATTATGGATTTATTCAGGACTGATTGCATTGAGTACGTAAGCACTTTGGAAGAATTAAAAAACAGAGAGAGAGATGTCTGTGAGCTGAATGAAGAGGGGGGTTGCATCCTCCAAGTTACCCAGTCTGACGAGGAGTAAGGCTGTGTTAGGAGAAGGGAACAGACTTACTGCATGGATGCGCGAGGACCCGGACCTCGTCCACAGCGATGTAGCCAGGATGACCTTTCAAAGAGACGGATTCAAATATCACCTGCAACACACACAGGGCGGGAGTCAATTTCACAGAAGTGGTTGTAGGCACTGGTCGTAGGAATCTGCCCACCCCCAAAAAACCCTTTATGATTCTGCTTCCCATCAGAATCACCCAAATAGGCCTTATATTAGGCTAGGATGCTCTCCTGGCAATTGAGTTGGACTTTCAAAACAAGGTAGAAAGGCCTTGTGATGAGCAAAAGGAGAGTCAGCCACATGGAACATTTTTAATGGATTTCAGAAACAACACTTGGATGCAGGGACAGCAACCCAAATATGGCCTGCAGACCCCAATCTACACCTTTCTCATGGTTGTTTCAAGTGAAACACAGAGTAGAATTACTTACTAATACCCCAACTTTCTTATGAGGGGTGGGGGAGGAGCTTACCTTGGAAGCTCCCATAAGAAAAGAGAGGTTTATCCTGACTTGATTCTATATCCCCAAGGAACACCAACAGTCCATCTGAATTTCTTAATAACACCTTTCAAAATCTGCACAACTGTTGGTATCTGGGAATCCAAGGGCAACATTTTTTTTTTAGTTCTCCATTCTGACTCCCACCCAAACTGCTAATTTCAGTAGAGACTGTATGGCTCAGTTCATGGCTTTCTTTGTCACCCAACCTCTACCTTCATCTCGGCGCTATGACTATCCATGTGGACAACCAGACCAACCCATTGACCTCCCTAATTCTAATGGCTTTATCTCCCACTCAGTGTTAGCCACAGGCTCAGACTTGTCCTTCTCCACTTCAGAGAGTGGAAATTCTATCTTCCTAAATATTGGCACAGCCTCCTACCCCACACCCCACTCCCAATTCATTCCTCTTAAAACTGATCTCAGGTTCATGCGGTACCCTGGACCTCAAGTTTCCACAGTTTACAGGCTTGCCTGGACCTCCCTATATAGGGTGTCCCAAGTAATCTATATACATTTTAACAGCTGATAACTGACTTAATTTTGAAAATGTACTGTATGTTAGTCAACACTGACTTTATAATCCTTCAAAGTGTGCATATATTTTTGGGACACCTTATATTTTCAACAAGCCTGGGGTACCCCCACTACATTGGATAATACTTGTCCCCTCTCAGATTTAATGAACCTGAGAACCGCAGCTCCTTGCTCAAACACACTCAAATATCTTACAATAAATACAGCAAAGAGGGAGAAATTCAAGGGGAAACTTGATCGGCATGGAGGAGTGGTATGCCCTTGAGGGCTCTTGACACTGTACCATAAGTACTAACCATTCACTCATCAGCTCTACGCCTACACAGAGCTGATGAGTGAATTTAAAATTACTTTTAAAAATTAATAGCTTTGGGGTACTTTTCCCTGTGAGTGAACACTGTACTAATTTCTTCAGTGTTTTGGTGTTGTTCCTTTTTTTTTTAAAAAAAAAAAAGACAATTGCACACAATTCTATCCAAAGCCCTCTAATTCTTCCACTTCAGTGGTCTGAATCCCACTAATAAACAATCAGGACTTTAGACTCCCTTAATAATGGAGAGAGATTCAAACGAAGATGTTTTGCCAGTCTCTGCAAATTCCTGGAGGTGCTGCCTGTGGAACAGGCCGGCAAAATTATGGATTTATTCAGGACTGATTGCATTGAGTACGTAAGCACTTTGGAAGAATTAAAAAACAGAGAGAGAGATGTCTGTGAGCTGAATGAAGAGGGGGGTTGCATCCTCCAAGTTACCCAGTCTGACGAGGAGTAAGGCTGTGTTAGGAGAAGGGAACAGACTTACTGCATGGATGCGCGAGGACCCGGACCTCGTCCACAGCGATGTAGCCAGGATGACCTTTCAAAGAGACGGATTCAAATATCACCTGCAACACACACAGGGCGGGAGTCAATTTCACAGAAGTGGTTGTAGGCACTGGTCGTAGGAATCTGCCCACCCCCAAAAAACCCTTTATGATTCTGCTTCCCATCAGAATCACCCAAATAGGCCTTATATTAGGCTAGGATGCTCTCCTGGCAATTGAGTTGGACTTTCAAAACAAGGTAGAAAGGCCTTGTGATGAGCAAAAGGAGAGTCAGCCACATGGAACATTTTTAATGGATTTCAGAAACAACACTTGGATGCAGGGACAGCAACCCAAATATGGCCTGCAGACCCCAATCTACACCTTTCTCATGGTTGTTTCAAGTGAAACACAGAGTAGAATTACTTACTAATACCCCAACTTTCTTATGAGGGGTGGGGGAGGAGCTTACCTTGGAAGCTCCCATAAGAAAAGAGAGGTTTATCCTGACTTGATTCTATATCCCCAAGGAACACCAACAGTCCATCTGAATTTCTTAATAACACCTTTCAAAATCTGCACAACTGTTGGTATCTGGGAATCCAAGGGCAACATTTTTTTTTTAGTTCTCCATTCTGACTCCCACCCAAACTGCTAATTTCAGTAGAGACTGTATGGCTCAGTTCATGGCTTTCTTTGTCACCCAACCTCTACCTTCATCTCGGCGCTATGACTATCCATGTGGACAACCAGACCAACCCATTGACCTCCCTAATTCTAATGGCTTTATCTCCCACTCAGTGTTAGCCACAGGCTCAGACTTGTCCTTCTCCACTTCAGAGAGTGGAAATTCTATCTTCCTATATATTGGCACAGCCTCCTATCCCACACCCCACTCCCAATTCATTCCTCTTAAACCTGATCTCAGGTTCATGTGGTACCCTGGACCTCAAGTTTTCCACATTTTACAGGCTTGCCTGGACCTCCCTATATAGGGTATTCCAAAAAATGTATAGACATTTTAACAGCTGATAACTCACTTAATTTTGAAAATGAACTGTATGTTAGTCAACACTGACTTTATAATCCTTCAAAGTGTGCATACATTTTTGGGACACCTTATATTTTCAACAAGCCTGGGGTACCCCCACTACACTGGATAATCACACATACCACTCTTGCCTATAGCACTACTTCCATAGCAGCTTCATTACAACTCTGGCAAGCCCCTTACAATACTGCCTTCACCACGGGAACTGGTGGAGAGGGTGGTGATGGCTTTGAAGAGGCAGCTTCCTCTAAGTCAACATATGGCTGCCTGGGAATTACATAAAGTGACTTGGGAATGGCAGTCACACCAAACATAGAGCAGCTGGCATCAGCATGACAACCACTGGGGAAGAGGGATTTACTAAGACACAGGGTCCTTCAGAGAGTTAACAAACAGAACCGTGCAGGAAGGAGGGGAAAGTTTGCAGAAATGAAAGTGATAGCTGCCTCATCCCGCAGAGAGGAAGTCAGCAGAAGGCCTTTCTATCAATAATTGCATGTCTAATTATGTTTTTAGTAATTCAAATGAAACCAAAAGCAAAGTCCATAGGAAAAAATAACAAGAAAATAGAATACAGAAGATACATTTATAAAGAAACAGTATAAAACTATTCAAGTTGTATAATAAAAGTGACAAAAGTAACAAGAATATTTGTGACAATAAATAGGTTAAAATAGAGAAAAGCTCTCAGACTGTCCAAATAGACAAAACCTAATTGTATGCTATCAGATAAACACCTAAAGCAGAATGACTCAGTAACCTTGAGAACAACAAGTTGAACAAAGGGAAATAATAGGGAAATACAAATAGACGGAAAACAGTTATTGCAAAAATAATGTAAAAGCATCAAAGCAGAATTTAAACCAAAAGGGAAACAAAAAACCATTAAGTGGACTAAAATGGTCATTTAAAAGAATGTATGGCCTGTCCTGCATGGCCCAGTGGTTGAACGTCGACCTATGAACCAGGAAGTCACCCTTCAATTCCCTGTCAGGACACATGGCTGGGTTGTGGGCAAAATCCCCAGTGTTGGGGGTACAGGAGGCGGCTGATCAATGATTCCCTCTCATCACTGATGTTTCTATCTCTCCCTCTCCCTTTCTCTTGGAAATCAATAAAAATATATTTTTTAAAAAGGATGTAGGAGTCAATAGACTTAAAAGAAGAAAATGATGGAAACAAATAGTAGTTACAGTTTAAATAAAACTCATTTATTAAATATAACCCACATTTTAGATTCTGACAAATTAAACAGAAAAAAATGCATCTATCAAGTATGTACATAATATAAACAATGATGCATTTACTAAACAAATGTTAATGAATTTAGAGAATAAAATTTCTGTTCACACATTCATGGGTTATTTACACAAAGATCATATAACAGACTAAAGCAGAGGTTCTCAAACTGTGGGTCGCGACCCCTTTGGGGGTCGAACGACCCTTTCACAGGGGTCACCTAAGACCACCGGAAAACACATATATAATTGCATATTGTTTTTGTGATTAATCACTATGCTTTAATTATGTTCAATTTGTAACAATGAAAATACATCCTGCATATCAGATATTTACGTTATGATTCCTAACAGTAGCAAAATTACAGTTATGAAGTAGCAACGAAAATAATTTTATGGTTGGGGGTCACCACAACATGAGGAACTGTATTAAAGGGTCGCGGCATTAGGAAAGTTGAGAACCACTGGACTAAAGTATAAGTTCAATCAACGCATCAAAGAAGAAACCATATAGGTTTGGCTCTGTGCATTTTCTAACTAAATTCATTAAAGCTAGAAATTAATGACAAATGCTTCAAAATCAATCTCTTAAAATTGAAATATGCATTAATTAAATATCCAATACCTTCTTAGGAACTATGATGTCAAAATATGTTTTGTATATTAACAAAGTCTGAAACAAAATTAAAAGTCAAATGGCAAGCTGGAAAAAAATTTGTAATTATATATGCCAGCAAAAAGGTGAATGACCTGTTTTGTGTAAAGAATTCTTAAGACTCAACAAAATAAATAAACTCTCAAAAAAAATTGGCAAGTAACATCAGTAGGCAATTCACAAAAGATGAAGTCGGAATGGTAATAATCTATGAGTGCAATTTTTTAATGACACTGGGGAAATTATGGTAGATGATTATTTTCTGATTTATAGTTTTCTAGATTTTCCAAAATTTCTGCAGTAAAAATGAGCTACTTTATATTTATACTAAAAATGAAATGTTTTATGGTACATTTGCATATCTCCCTTCACGTTATATTATCATGATGCCATGTACCATCATACAATTAGCACCTATCACACCCTATTGCCATTGCTTGCTCACAAATCATTTCATTCCCTAAACTCTAAACCCATTGACAATAGGAAAAGTGTCTTTATTCATCTGTACATTCATTTATTCAGTCAACATTTAAAGAGACCCTTCTCCGTAATAAACATTGAGACACATGCTGCATGATAAAAATGAACAAGAATATTGAGGTCCTAGCTCTGATGAATTTCACATTTTAGTGAATGAAAATGGAAATTAAACAAATCAATATGAAAAGTCAAACTAATTGTGTGATTAGCATTATGAAGGAAAGAAACAGAATATATTGTGCTTAAGAGTAACTAAGAAGAGGGTGTATATTCCCTAGAGTGCTTAGGAGAGAACCTTGAGGAGGTGATAATCACTATGACACCAGAAGGATGAAAGTGGCCAGACAAGGAAGCGGGGGAGGGGGTGGTGGCAAGTGCTAAGGCCATGAGGAAGCAAAGAGCTCAGAGATGATCTGGGAACGCAAGAGGGAAGCTGAGAAACAGAGCAAGCTAGAGAGGCACGAAGCCAGGCTGGAGTGTAGGGAAGTCAGGTGACTTGGGGTCTTATAAGACTTAGTTAGGAGCTCAAATTTTCTTCTAATTCGCCGAAAGATTTACAGCAAGGAAGAGACACATTCTAATTTATATTCTAAAAAGATCATTCAGACCAACTGACTGGCAGGTGGGCAAATGAGAATGAATAAAGCAAACAGACCTATCCCTTGGCTACTGTAGTCATCCAATCAAAAGATGAGGATAGCTTTGGGCCCTGGCAGGTAGCTCAGCTGGTTAGAGCTTATCCTGATGCCATGGTTTCTGGTTTGATCCCTGGTCAGGGCGCATATGGGAATCAACCAATGAATGCATAAATAAGTGGAACAATAAATATTTCTCTCTCTCTCTCTCTCTCTCTCTCTCTCTCTCTCACACACACACACACACACACACACACACACACACAGACACACACACACCTTTCCTCTGTCTCTCTAAAATCAATAAATAAAAAGAAAAAAGTGAGGATATTGTTTATAACTGTGGTGGCTATACGGAATAAAGGTTGGTGGTTTAAGAGAGATTTCTAACGTAGAGACGAAAAGAACTGCTGTGAGATTAACAGGAGAAGAGTGAAGGAAAGAGAAGGCTCAGTGAGGACTCTTCAATTTAGAGCCTGAGCTTCTGGGCTGAGTCTGGTGTCATTTACTGACATAGGGAAAGTGACATGATGAACGTGTGCACAGGCACACAGGTCGGCTATGTCAGGGTTTCCTGGTGGCTATGTTAAGTTGCGATGACAATTAAGCATCATAATGGATATGTTGAGTAGGAAGCTGACATTACGTTTCTGAAACTCATGGGTAATTTAGGAACCAGAGTTACAAATGTGGTAGCTTTGGCATCTAAGTGTCATTTAAAGTTATAGAACTAGATAAGGTCACCTTGAAAGGCAGAGTAGATAGTTCAGAGATGAGAGCTAGGGCCCAAGGCCAAGTGCTAAAAGTCCAATAGAGAAGGTATTTTTTAGGATGGTAGAGACTGGAACATGATGTTAGGTAGAGAGGAATGAATCAGGGGAGTAGCATAGAATATGAGTGAGGGACAGATGAAACAAGATTCTAAAGGGGGCAGGAGTCAGTCCATTGGGGTCAGGATACCAGTGGAATAATGGGTATTGACCAGAGGGGCACCTCATCAACAAAAACAGAATGATAATAAAATAATGCAAACGGAGAAATATGCCCACAATAATAAAGGTCACAATACTGACCACTTATTATGTGACCTGAACTAGCCTCTCAACAGCCCTAATTACCAAAACTCAGAAAGGAAGCCACGGGGGGCTGAGAGTTGAGGTCCTGGTCTCCTGGTTCACAGTACATGGCCATGGCCATTCTTGAACTTTGGTGAACCACTCACACTTAACCAAAACCCCTGATTAAGCAGAATCCTGGCTTTTATTCCAGTTAATCAGTTTAACTTAATTCTTCTAAGGCTTTGTTTATCATATCCTCACCCAGTACCTATCCTATATCACAATAATTAATAAATACTCCATGAATGAACACAAGGCTTGGCATGGGAGGATGGATGTGTGACAGTGAAATACACATTTGTTCACTGTTCTTTTTTCTTCCTTCGCAGAAATAAGAGTTCTATAATGAGACAGAGTATCTTTCATTCATCAGAACTCCTCCTGGGAATGTTTCTGTAAAGCATTAGGGAAGGTAAGATTTTGGTTTCTCAAATAGGACAGAGTAATATTCTGTAAGAAACATGGGAAAGCATGTTCTGGTTTTCCATTAAATGAGTTGATAATTCTCAAGTGCTTACAGTAGACATGGTAAGATATCTGTAAGTGTCACGAATACTATTGCTCTTGCTCTGGAGAGAGGGATGGGAAATTAGAGGAAAGGCAGGAATGGTGCTAGATCTAGGGACAGGGAGAAAGTAAAGGACTGTCCATGTGACTACCCCCTGTTACCCCCACCCCAAATTTCCACTGAAGTTCTTACACTCGGCAGACACTGTGATGTGAGTCATGACTGGTAAAAACTGGTGGAGGGATTGCTCAGGGTGAAATCAAGGAGGCCTGTGCAGACATGGAGGAGGGTTTGGTGCTTAGCTGAGAGGGTGGGTGGATGAGAGAGGAGACAGGGTGGAGTTCCGGGGGGGAGTGGCCCCCTCCCTGGAATGCATCCTCCTGAACTGTGCATGAAGTTTCTAAACCTGCAGAGTGTAGTGTGCCTACAGGGACTGCTCAGGAGGCCTGAGGGACTGCTGAAAAGGGCTCCGAGTCCAGTTGAATCCAAATCAGGCGACTCCTAAATTTCAGGGGTCCACAGAGCAATTACTCTGCGGGATAAAAGGTAATTTCACCCAGGCAGGTGATGGAGAAGAGAGAGAGAGAGCCAGTGGCTGCAAAATTAATAATGAGTTCTTTTATTTTTAAAAAATCTTGCGATGGATAAGTTCAGAATCATTAAAAACATGAAACAGAATTAATATCCCCTGGAAAGGGGCAGCGATCTGAAGCAGGGCTTGCTAAGCCCTCGCTGGCCTGAGAGACACCAGGTGGGAGTGGGGTTGAATGGCAGAGGGACATTCCTACCCCGGGCCCTGCTCAAGGCCTCCTGCCAGAACGCCCACTAATAAGAAAGATAAAATTTCCCTGTTTATTACGGAGTTAAAAGTCCATTGTAGGACTGTGAAATATGACTTTAATAAATGAATACATAAGCCATCCATATGTGAAAACCAGCACTACTGAAAACTAAAACTATTTAGTCCACAGCCACATACATACAGGACCAGAACTTGGGGGTCTGGTGAATTTAAAATCCATTTTGCAAAAGTCTTCGAATCTCCTGATAGGTCCCCTCTCCTCTCCCGCAGCCATATGTGTGAATGGGTGCCCCTGAGTCCACGTGAGTCTGGGAGCATGCAGGTGTGTGAGCCTCTGTGTGTGCTCCACTCTGGGTGCATGGCCACGAGACCATCCACTACTGCCTGCGTGTGTGTGTGTGTGTGTGTGTGTAAGACGCACATGTGTGTTCTAAACTGCTGCTCTCAGCGCATTAGTGGCTTTTTCACCACGAAGCTCAGAGCAAAGGAAATGTAATGTAACAGCACTATAGTAGCCAACAAGTTGGAAATCAGAAAATAAAATTCTCCCAGATGAAGCTGCTTATCACAGGGCTGGTTCAGAGTTTACCCAGGACAGCTCAACTATAGAGGGTATTTCTTTTAAAAAGCTCTCCTTCCTTCTTCCTCTTTTTCTGTTCTCCCCTGGCTTCCTCCTCCTTCCTTCCTTCTGACAATTGCTGACAGGACATTATGTATGTGCTGCCTTATTTAATCCACAGAAGAACCCCTCCTTGGACCCATTACCGTCTTGATCTTACAAATGAAGCAACTGTGACTCAAAATGATGATGAGATGCATTCACCATTATTGAGCCAGTGAGTGGAAGATTCTCAGAATGGAAAGGCTATTTGCCCTAAACGAGGAAATTGAACTTGGAGCCACAGGACCTGTACCTAAGTTTGCCAATAATATCCCCTATTCTGGAACACAGGAGTTACTGTACAGGTGAGTGAGAGGCAATATGCTCTTATTTAATCCACAGAAGAACCCCTCCTTGGACCCAGTACCGTCTTGATCTTACAAATGAAACAACTGTGATTCAAAATGATGATGAGATGCATTCACCATTATAGAGCCAGTGAGTGGAAGATTCTCAGAATGGAAAGGCTATTTGCCCTAAACGAGGAAATTGAACTTGGAGCCACAGGACCTGTACCTAAGTTTGCCAATAATATCCCCTATTCTGGAACACAGGAGTTACTGTACAGGTGAGTGAGAGGCAATATGCTTACCACAGAGCTGGGACATAGGGATGCCCAAGAAACTTCTTTTTCCCCCTCCATACCCCATCAGAGACCATGACCAATAGTGTGACTGTCCCTCTCCTGGGTCACTTATCCTGCTCATTATACTTGGGAAATTGAACTTGGAGCCACAGGACCTGTACCTAAGTGTGCCAATAATATCCCCTATTCTGGAACACAAGATATGCTGCTACCCAACACAGGGTAGTGAGGGGTAATATGCTTACCACAGAGCTGGGACATAGGGATGCCCAAGAAACTTCTTTTTTCCCCTCCATACCCCATCAGAGACTGTGACCAATAGTGCAACTGTCCCTCTCCTGGGTCATTTATCCTGCTCATTATACTTGCCACCTGTGGCCCCATCCTGTCCCCATTGGCCGGGGCTTTCTGACTGGGACCTGAAGGTATCCATGGAGGTAACCATGGGCTTATAGAGACACTTGGCATTTACACACTGAGGCATCTGGGCTCCGGCCCCAGCTTTGCCAGTGCTTTGCTGTGTGCACTTGGACTTCGTGGTCTATCTCTGGACCTCAGCTCTATCACCTACATTAGGGTTAATCAAACGATGGCCTGGAGGTCAAGTCTGGCCCATCACTTGTTTTTGTCCATAAAGTTGTACTGAAACACAGCTACATCCATTCATTTCCATATTGTCTAGGCCCAGCTGTGTGCACTTGGACTTCGTGGTCTATCTCTGGACCTCAGCTCTATTATCTACATCAGGGTTCATCAAACCATGACCTGGAGGTCAAGTCTGGCCCATCACTTGTTTTTTGTCCATAAAGTTGTACTGAAACACAGCTATGTCCATTCGTTTCCATATTGTCCAGGCTGTTTCCATGACGCATCTGAAAGGACTGCAGCTTGGATGTTGAACCGAAGGACGTCTCAGAAGCTCCCAGCCACTAACCTTGCCACCCCCAGGTCCACCTTCTTCTCCAGACTCTAGAGAAATTTATCCAAAACGCAGATCTATGTCACTTTCTTACTTAAACACTTCCAACAGTGGGCATGGGGATTAACTGAAAATAGGCACAAGGGATCTTATTGGGATGGTGGACATGTTCTAAAACTGGTTTGTGGTGGTAATTGCACAACTCAGTGGCTTTACTAAACATCACTGAATTGCACAGTTAAAATAAGTGGATTCTATAATATGTGAATTGTACCTCAAGAGTGTTGTTTATAAAAAAATCTTTCCACAGTCCCAGGTCAGGATGACCTGGAGCTCCGTGGGCTGGGGCTGGCATGCATGCTGCGTCTCAGTCCCCAGTGGGATGAGCAGGGAAAGTGAGAGAGGTGTTTAGAAACTGTGACAGCAATGTGGCATGGCTGTGACATTTTTACTGCCATTTGTAAAACTATAGGTCCACACTGAGTTGGGGAGGGAACTGGTCTTTCACCAGAGAGTGTGAGAAGCACTGCTCTAGAGCAGTGAATACAGGTAATGTCCTTGGCCTGGCATTCGGGGCCCACACGACCTCCTTGCCCCTGCAGGCTCCATGCCCTGTATGTCTCCTTTGCAACCTCCCCTTAGTCCACTTAGATGTCCAAACTCTGCCAAAATCTCTCACCCACTTCCTGAGCCCATGGCCTGCCCTATCCCCAACAACTCAAATGCCTTTCTCTTCCTTCTTCAATAATCACTTATTCACCCTTCCAGACTCGGCCTCAATGTCATCTCCTCTTAGAAGCCATCCTAACTGTCTTTCCCCCCACCCCGACACCTCTTCTCCAGGGGTGATCTCTGACTAGTTACCTCCTCTCTCTGAACCTCAACCTCTTCACCTGTAAAACAGGGAAAATCATAGCATTCTCCTCATTAGATAACACTGTCCCCCTCATCAATTCTTGTACAATAGGCTTCAATGTCTATGTTCCTGCAGCATTGTGGGAACTCAAATGCATCTGGCTGTGTTGTCATCATTTATCCACCGGTCTCCTCCTCTACGGCCTGCTAGAAGGAGAAGTTCAGTAAAGACGAGTTGAGCCAGTGAGCAAATGAAGTCCTTTCTCCACTGCACAACTCCAGGCAGGCAAGAGGTGGGTGGGTTTATGGTTACTTAAAAAAGAAGTTGAGCCATGGAAAACCCCCTACCTGGTAGAAATGTGGCCAGAAGGTGCTGATGGCCAGCTCTGCCTTCACCCAGCCCTCGGTGACGACGCCGGACACGTTCCAGACGGGGTTCCCCTGGGGCCCGCCGTTCACCTTCACATAGACGTTCAAGGCGCCCGGGCTGGACCTGTCGCGGCTGGAGAAGTAGTAATGGAAATCGATGCAGTGCGTGTCATTCTCCTTCAAGGTGGGCAGGAGGAGGTGGGCCTTCTGGCCGGAGGCCCTCCCGGAGCTGTTCACCATCATGAAGGAGCCTGGAGACCCGCAAAGGGGGCAGGAAGGAGACAGGGAGAGAAAGAAAAAGCCTCCTGAAAATCGGTTACACCCCTCAACATGACGGCCAGAAATGGGGTCACTCCAGCAGGGGCTGGTTGAGCCTGAGGAAACCACATCTCCTCTCTCAACCTCAGCGCCCTCTTCTGTAATTGGGAATAACAACCCTACTCAACAAGGTGGTTTTAAAAATGAAGAGCTAGTAACATATTGTACAACGTATTTCTACGAAGTGGATGCTCTGAACACTTACGGAAGAGACATTACATCCAGCAGCTCCTGCAGGAAGCATGGCATAAAACCCCAGGAATTTAGTTAATGGCAACCTCCATGGGTAAAATGGGGTGACATATAACCTCACGTAAGCATTGGCTGTCTCAGTGGAAACAACCTTGGCAATACGGAAGGTGTCATTGTTCCAACATAGTCCACCTGAGCCTTGTGTTCAAGTTCAGGACAGGGCATAGCAGAGGAGGGCGTATAAAGCACACGCTGATTCCACTCAGCAAGGAAGACCCGGAGGAAACGCGGAGAACCGCTGGGAGATGCTCGGCCTGGGAAGGAGGGGAAGGAATACTAAGCACGTAAGGAGTCCCAGTGGGATGCTAGGTGTCTTATTTATACATCATTCAATTTAATCTCCAGAATGGCCCTGGGGGGCGGGGGATTCTCCTGTTATTTAAAGACTGAGTGGCCTGCCCTGGGCCACGCAGACAGGGAGCGATGAGACCCAGATCCGCTCCAGCCTCAAAGTGTATGCTCTCATTACTACTGGCAGCAAACAGGACTAGTCTTTTCAGGACTTAAAAGGCTATTTCCTAGGAAGGACGGGAGCCTCTTTGGAGTTGCTCTGACAGGTTAAAGGGCTGTTTCTAGTTCTTCGCCCCTCCCTGGATCTGCGTCCTTAGCCTCTTGCTTCTCAGAAGAGGCGGAGGGTGTTTCCCCATCCTGTGACTTTGGACTGCACTTGCTTTGGTCAAACGATGCTAACAGAACAATCCAAGGGGAGGCTTGCCCTCTTGCACAAATGCCACCTTTCATGGGAAGAATGCCCCCCAGGTGGCTGCTGCCCCTCAGGTTGGGATGGAGGAGTACTGAGCAGAGGCGGCAGCGAATAACCAAGCCATGCCACCCCCGCAAGAAGCACAGCCACGCGGCCCACAAGCCCAACCTAGATCAGCAGAACCACACTCGATGCTCGGACCATGAGCGTGAGAGCAAGTGCTCATTATTGTTAACCCTGGGTTCCCTCTCGGTACTTTAGGCAGCATTATTGTGGCAACAGCTCCTTGATGCAGGTGCCTGAGAGGGCAGACTTCTGAAAGGAACCACCAGGAGGCACACTTCAGTGCAAAAGGACCTTCTAAGGCAGCGGTTCTCAACCTGTGGATCGCGACCCCTTTGGGGGTCGAACGACCCTTTCACAGGGGTCGCCTAAGACCATCGGAAAACACATATATAATCACATATTGTTTTTGTGATTAATCACTATGCTTTATGTTCAATTTGTAACAATGAAATTGGGGGTCACCACAACATGAGGAACTGTATTAAAGGGTCGCAGCATCAGGAAGGTTGAGAACCACTGCTCTATGGAGCAGTGGGCCCTGCAGCTGAATTCTAGCCAGTGGGGCCAGGCCTCCACCCTCCCTGACCCCCACTGCTCCATCCTCTCTTATCTTGTCTCTCAAAAGATGGTCCTTGGAGCAGCAGCCCAGCACCCCTGGGAGCTTGTAAGAAAAGCAGGACCTTGGGCCCCATCCCAGGCCTAGAGAATCCAAGTCTGCATTTGTCAATATCCTCAGCTGGTTTGTAGGAGGCACATGAAAGTGTGAGCATCACCGCTCCATTGTCTTTCCCACCCACCAGCTGCAAGCACAGGAGCCCAGGAGCCTAAGTGACAGCAGAGCTGCAACCAAAGGAGCCCGGTCCCTGAATGGCATGGCCATAAGAAAGCCCACCCACCTACTGAGAACACTCATTTCAGGCCTTTAGTAAACAGGGAATCAACTATGACTGGGTTATTAAGCCATTCAAATCCTGTCATTTATTTTTGCAGCTAGCATTCTCATTATTGGCACCCCCCATGGAGTCCCTACTTTGTACAAGTTCCTTTATTTAGGAAGATGAGATGAGTAATGACAGCTAGCAAGCAAAGCTATAAGACACCCCAAATAGGAACATCATTACAAGCAGCATCCTGGGTAAAAAGCAGAAAGAGAGCAGAGAATGGAAAAACTGGGCTCTGAGGATGAGTCCTGGAGAAGGAACGGCATACCTTGGACCTTCATTGAGAGAATGTGTGTCTTAGGTGGACTAGCATTCTCATTATTGGCACCCCCCATGGAGTCCCTACTTTGTACAAGTTCCTTTATTTAGGAAGATGAGATGAGTAATGACAGCTAGCAAGCAAAGCTATAAGACACCCCAAATAGGAACATCATTACAAGCAGCATCCTGGGTAAAAAGCAGAAAGAGAGGAGAGAATGGAAAGACTGGGCTCTGAGGATGAATCCTGGAGAAGGAACGGCACACCGTGGACCTTCATTGAATGTGTGTCTTAGGTGGGCCAGCGTTGGGTTGGGTCAGGGACGCTTCCCATGTTCCCCACCAGCACCCTGGCCCATGATGTCAATTTGTGTAACGTAATGTGCATGCTCTGGCCCTCAGACTAGACAGAAAGGTATGTGTTTTGGTGCGAGGCTCAGAGGTGAGACTACAAAGCAGCGCTGTGGGACCCAAAAGACAGAGTGTAAGAGCCTGGCCTCCTACAGGGGTGTGATGTGAAAAGGCAGCATCAGCAGGTGGCACGCCCTGCACGAGGGAGGGGCACTGTGACATTGGGAAGGGTCCCACACAGCAGCTGTGGTGAGCTTGCAGGCAGTGGGCTTCCTTAAGGATGCCAGAAAGTGGCAACACTGACCCTCCATCCATGCACTCATGAGATCACGGGGAGAGCCCTGTGAGGGCAGACAGGGGCCTGGCAATCATGCACATGGAGGCTTGGGGGGGACACCATTTAGATCCTGTATTCGAGTCCTATGGTTCCTATAACCAATTACCACAAACTCAGTTGCTCGATACAACACAAGTGTACTCCCTTATGCTTCTGGAGGTCAGAAGTCCAAAGTCAAGTTGTTAGGAAGGCTGCTTTCCTTCTGGAGGCTATAGAAGACCATCAGTTTTCCTGCCTGGCCCGGCTTTTAGAGGGCGCCTGCATTCCTTGGCTCATGGCCCCTTCCTCCATCTCCAAAGGGCATGACTTCAACCTCTATTTCCTTCAGCACAACTCCTTGTTCTGACGTTGACCCCTCTGCCTGCCTCCTATAAGGATGCTCTTATAAGGATCCACCCAGACAATCCAGCATAAACTCTCCACTGCGAGATCCTTCACATCTGCAAAGTCCCTTTTGCCATGCCAGGTAACTATGCACAGGTTCCAGGGATTGGGACATGGACATCTTGGAGGGCCAGCATTTTGTCAGCACAGGTATTTTTGTTAATAGGACCACATCTGTACTCCCAGGCTAGTAGACCAGAGATAGAAAGATGACAAGTCCATTCAGAAGCCAGCAGGGGCCCTGGGAAATCTGAGTGCTCTTATGTGAGTGTAGAAAGTTCCCTGTGGTGCCTGGCCAGTGTGGCTCGGTGGTTGAGTGTCTAACCTGTGAATCAGGAGGTTGTGGTTTGATTCCTGCCCAGGCTGCAGGCTCAATCCCCAGTGGGGGAGGGGAGAGGGGAGGGGGAAGGAGGGGAGGGGTGGTAGTACAGGAGGCAGCCAATCAATGATTTTAAAGATGATTTCTTTCCCTCTCATCATTGCTATTTATATATCTCTCTCCCTCTCCCCTCCACTCTGAAATCAGTATTTTTTTTTAAAAGAAAGTAAGCTCCCCATGGTGTAATGTCCTCACCAAAGTCTTAGAGGGAGAGTACCGTACAAAAAGCAAAATGTGGGGTCAGCTCATTTAGTTCCCAATCTGGACAGAAAGAAAAGGTTTGGGGCGACACCTGGGGGAGGTCCACCTTTCAACAGTGGAAACTCATCAGGGATGCTGGCCAGTGTAGCCACCATGGTCACACACTGCTCCTCAGATGCCACCCACCACATGTGGCTGCTCTCAGGCCACCCTCCATGTTAACCAGATGTTTGATCTGAAGTAGAAACTTGCCCTATGGTTTGGCCACTCAATACCCGAACTCCCTTCCTGTGGTTGGAGCATCTCCCCAACTTCTGAAGCATGGCCCACGTTCCTCTATCGAAAAGAAAAAGCCCGATGCCCACTTTCCCAATCTCCTCGGTCACTAAGACTTGGGCACACGATCTGGGCGCCACGAAGCAGGTGCACCCAATCCCAGTGTCTGAACCAGAAGCTAGGAACTAAGTAGACCAGGGCTCAGTGAACCACAGGCTGTGTCGAGAGGGCAGCAGCCGTGAGGAAGGTGCCTCCAGCTGCGGAGGCAGCGATCCCAGTGACCGAGCAGGAAATCCAGTCTTGACACAGAGGTGGGGTAATGAACTCAGCCAGGTGGGTCAGCATCTTCCGGGACTGAGCTAAACTGAGCTGGGATTTGAAGAATGAATGGATGTAAAACCTTACTGGCTCATGAGCATATTATGAACCCTGACAGTGGAATCTTACCAGCCCCTACCTGTACCTGCTGGAACCCCAGCTCCTAGCAATACTCCCTACATATCCCCCAAATCCCCAAGGCACCTTAATTAATGATGGCAACCCCCTTGTCCCCGCTGCACGTCCAGGAATAGATCCCTCATCTGCCTTTGCCACCAGTTGTGGTGTCTCAATGACCGGACAGGTCCTCATTAGTGTCTCTTTGCTCTGGGACACACTCGGGGGACACACAGCAGCATTGCTTTAGCCCTGAAGTCAACAGAGTTCAAGAGACAGCTCTTTCTGCAGACTCCCGTGCCTTTTTTTCCTCCTCCATCCAGATGCACACTCACCTAGCACCATGTCCC